TCTGTTAACTGATTAAGAAAACTCTACAGGTGTCTTAACACTACAATTACTCTCGTAAAAATCAAGCTGTAAATGCAGTACTTTCGAAGGACAGTACCTGATTCACACTATTAGCTTCAACAGCAACATATTTTCAAAGAGGGCTTCTTTTCAAGAAGTTTCAGCATAATCCAACAACAACCTGTATTACATGGTTTCATAATCAGTTAACAGAGGATCATATTTTTTAACATACATCAACAGCTATTAATGGGAAAGTGCTGAGAAAATTATACATCGCTACACTATTATTATACAATCTATATTATAATGCCAATGAAAATTGAACTTTTAACAATGAGAAGTTTTCAGCAAATTTCATTTTATACAAGAATATAAAGTTAACCAAGGGGTCAACACTATTGGATGAAAGCAGCAACCAGTAAATATCTACTGCAATGGCATTTATCATTAATGTTTGCTGATTGTTTTATTACATAATTTGAAGTGTCAATTTTTTAATTGATTGCTAAACTGTGAGAAATAAGAAACAGCAGTAAAGATAGATAGTATTTCAATGATAAAATATCTATGTTTTTACATGGAGCCTATTAAAATCAGCATGGGTTGTAAACTCAGCTTTGATAATAAAAAGCTAAAAGTTTGTTTCCAAGGCCCACAATTTTGTTAGGGCAACTTGTTGAAAATGAAAACATTAGAAAAAAATGTAAGTCCTCAAAACAAAAGTGAGGAAGAATATTTTTGTATGTCAACTACATACATATATTTTACATGGATATTACTTATTTCTGACCAACAACTCAAAAGGAAATATGAAAAAAATATGTTTAAAGAAAAATGAAGATGCTGCTACTCGATAGCCATGTGGTCATTGACTAAAAACAATAGAGAGGAAAACGCAACCCATAGGTATGTTATATTTGTCTGGTACATATTTCTATGTAACTATAAAGTATGCATTGGTACAACTGCCCTATTTCCATACTCTACAAAATAGTGTTAACAGGATCTATATTCAATACAACTGACAAGATTTCAGGTAGCAGATTTATACAGTATTAGGTTCTTGAGTGCAATGCTGTAACACAATACCCTTGTTGAAAAAAGGAGAACCAAACCGGTTCAAATATTCAAAATTATCTGCTTAATGAAAAACGTAAAAACTCCCAAGTTGTGCTTGATTTCTGGTGATTTCATGAACATGTAGCTTTCTTGTTAACATGTAAGTGGTCTCCTCTTGCCACAATCAGGGTTTATTTTGTTCAGATTTGCAGCCCAGTCTAAACTGACAGATCCCTGACAGTACAGTTCCCAACAAGCTGCTTAGCTTCAAAGCCTAGGCAAGATTAGCAACTTTGCCAGATAATTATAAGGCTAAAAAAAACTTACATAAGGTCAAGATACCAATATAACAAAACATACAGTGATTAATATAGCCAAAAGCATTGGCTGGGAAGAGGAGAGGCCCAGAAACACTGAGTCACTTTTATCACTCTTCTCCTAAGAGAATATTAAGAAACTCATTGTACTGATGAGTACTATCCAAAATAAATAAGTGATTTTCTATATTAAGGAAGTTGCCCACTCACTGGCAATTGGTTTATTGCTCACATTATGTTCTCTGATGATTCATTAAAATTGATATAGACAGTAACTTTTATTAACTGTTATTTATCAGAATAAAAAACTATAATTGTCTATCTACAGAAAATGTGGTGCAGGTTTTTCCATTACAATTTAAAGTAACGCTACAGTCTTCAATTTACAACCAATTGGAAACCGAATTTCATCACTAAGCAATGCACTCATAAAGTGAAATATCACGTGACTACATCACTTGGCAACTGTAATACCAGCACTCAATTAACTGAGAAACACAGGTTAAGCAGAGGGAATCCCAGGTAAGGAGTGGGGGTGGGGGAGGCCTGGCACAAGCAACACAAAAGATGCAATGTGGTGCAAAACTGCAGTTGCTCTTAGAAGTCTCAGCCTGTCCCAGCAACATGATGCAAAGCTACTCCACTTGGCCCAGCAGCACTTAGGACAATAGGGGTATTGCAATTTCTCTCACTCACTTATCTCCCCCCACCATCTATACTCTTTGGGCTACTGCTACTGTATGCAAGGCTGGTACTGGCAGTTTAAGGCCTTCATCCCAAGGCACACACCCCATTCACATGATCCTTCGGAAAGCTACCTCAGGTCTCGCAAGAATGGACACATTATTTGGAGAGAGGCAGGAACGTAATTCTTGTCCCAGTATCACCCTCTGATGAGAAGTACCACTGCACAGAACAACCAAAGAGCATAAATAATGGGGAGACAGGTGAGTGGGGGAGTTGCCGCACGGCTACAGTCATAAGTGTGGGTGGGCTACCAAACCCCCTAATTTTTAGTCACATGACCATGGGGATGCTGCAACAACCATAATTTCAGGCATGGGCATTCATTTTTTCAGTACCATCATAATTTTAAACGGTCGTTGAAT